GATGGACATGTCGTCTGAGGAATGGGAGGGGGAGCTGAAATGGTTCGCGACTGGGAGGTGCAGTTGTTTATTGCGAACCGAGCGTAGGTGTTCTGCAAAGCGGTCCCCGAGTCTCCGCTTGGTTTCCCCGATGTAGAGGAAGCCACACCGGGTACAGCGGATGCAGTATACCACATTGGCAGATGTGCAGGTGAACATCTGCTTGATGTGGAAAGTCTTCTTGGGGCCTGGGATGGGGGTGAGGGAGGAGGTATGGGGGCAGGTGTAGCACTTCCTGCGGTTGCAGGGAAAAGTGCCGGGTGTGGTGGAGCTGGAGGGGAGTGTGGAGCGGACAAGGGAGTCACGGAGAGAGTTGTCCCTCCGGAAAGCAGATAAGGGTGGGGAGGGAAAGATGTCTTTGGTGGTGGGGTCGGATTGCAGATGGCGGAAGTGTCGGAGGATGATGCGTTGGATCCGGAGGTTGGTGGGGTGGTACGTGAGGACGAGGGGGATTCTTTTTTGGTTCTTATTGCGTGGACGGGGTGTGAGGGATGAGGTGCGGGAGATGTGGGAGACACGGTTGAGGGCGTTCTCGACCACCGAGGAGGGGAAGTTACGGTCCTTGAAAAACGAGGACAACTGAGATGTACGGGAGTGGAATGCCTCATCCTGGGAGCAGATGCGGCGGAGCCGAAGGAATTGGGAATAGGGGATAGCATTTTTGCAGGAAGGTGGGTGGGAGGAGGAGTATTCTAGGTAGCTGTGGGAGTCGGTGGGCTTGAAATGAATATCGGTTTCCAGGTGGTTGCCCGATATGGAGACAGAGAGGTCCAGGAAGGGGAGAGAGGTGTTAGAGATGGTGCAGGTAAACTTAAGGTTGGGGTGGAAGGTGTTAGTGAAGTGTATGAACTGTTCGAGCTCCTCGTGGGAGCACGAGGCGGCGCCGATACAGTCATCAATGTAACGGAGGAAGAGGTGGAGTTTAGGGCCGGTGTAGGTACGGAAGAGGGATTGTTCCACGTAACCTACAAAGAGGCCTCTTTCACAAACTATCACCATTCACATAGCAATCTGCCTTCCTGCTTTTGCTATCAAAGCGGATAACCTCACATTTATCCACATTATATTTTATCTGCCAAGCATTTGCCCACTCACTCAACTTGTTCAAATCACATTGAAGCATCTTTGCATCCACCTTACAGTTCACTCTCCCATCCCCATTTGTCGCCTATAAATTGGAGATATTAGACTTCGATCCCTCATCTAAATAATTAATATACATCGTGACTAGCTAGGGTGCAAGCACTATTCCTTGCAGTACCCTTCCAGTTACCAGCTGCCACTTGGAAAAATACTTATTTATTTTTACTCTTTATTTCCTTTCTGCCAACCAGTTCTCTATCCATGTCGGTACACAATCTCTAATCTCACACTTTAATTTTACATTCTAATCTCTTACGTGCGACCTCATCAAAAGCCTTCTGAAAGTCCAAGTAAACCATATCCACTAGCTTCCCCCCCACCCCTTTTCTGAAGTGTCTAGGCCCGAAACATTAGCTTTCCTGCTCCTCTGATGCTGCTTCACCTGTGTTCATCCAGCTCTACACCTTGTTATCTCAGATTCTCCAGCATCTGCAGTTCCTACTATCTCAAAAATTCCAGTAGCTTTGTCAAGCTTTTGTAAATCCATGCTGACTCTGTCTGACCCTGTCTCTGTTACTGAATATTTTATAATGGACTCTAACATTTTTCCTACTACCAATGTTTGGTTAACCAGTCTATAATTCCCTGTTTTCTCTCTACTTCCTTTCTTAAAATAATGGGGTTACATTTGCTACATTCCAATCTACAGGCACTGTTCCAGAGTCTATAAAATCTTGAAAGATGACCACCAAGGCATCCACTGTTTCTACAGCCATATCCTCAAACATTCTGGAGTGTAGATAATCGGGCCTTAGGAATGTATCAACCTTTAATCCCAATTTCCCTAGCACCAATCCCCAACCAATATTTATTTTCTCAGTTCCTCCCCTCATTAGCATAACACTGGGAGAAATCCTGAGATAACTGGCCTTATGTCTTGCTTTTTATTTTCATCTAGCTCCCTTAATTCTACTTTCAGGGCCTCATTCTCTTTTTCTATCAATGTCATTAGTGCTAATGTGGACCACAACCTCTGGCTCTTTACGCTCCCCAAAAATAACATTCTGAAACCACTTTGTGACATCCTTGATCCTGGTACAACAGAGGCACATACTAGCTGTAATCATATCTCTGGTCATAGAAATGCTTGTCTGTTCCCAATGATCAAATTGCCTACCCCTATAGCTTTCCACTCTTCTCCTTTAAGGAACTTCTTCAAGCCTAAAATTTCACAAGATTTTGGTCATCTATTTAATATCTCTATGTTACACAGTGTCAAATTTTGTTTTCTTATGTTCACAAGTATCTTAGTGCAGTTTATTATTATTTTAGACATAAATACAAGTTGTTGTTGCAATTAATGGTTTTTAGAAATACAACAAAATACCACTTTACACAAGCATCATGATGGCAAACAGATTAGAGCTGAAGAAGTAAAATCAGCACTACATACGTAGCAGGGAATAACCACTGCCAAGAAGAAAAGTCTAGCACTCTACCCAACCTTCAACTGTAAAACCAAATTCTCTACCAGCATCCGAGATGGCACCAATTACTGAAGTTGAACTACATCAGGCAAAATGAACACAGTAGCTAAAGAACACCCCTGAAGCCAAGTGTCCTGTGATCATGGTTCACCTCCCAAACCCTCAAAATGCTCCCATTTATAAGGCACAAGTAATGCGTGTGATATTTAAATTGAACAGTCCACGATCCTTGGAAATCCCAATGTACTTTGAACAATTAAGTACTACTTGAAGTGTAGTAATTGCTACAATGTAAGGAACACACAGGAAACTCTGACAAAAAGAAATAGGACAATAACAAATAAACATTTTAGAAATGTTAGGAGATGATTATTAACCAGGACACCGAATAAGGTTCCCCTGCTCTTCCTTAAATAGTGCCACAGGATTCTTTACACTAATCTGAGAGGCAGATGGAGTAAGTAATGATTCAATCTGAGTGTCAATTGGCCGACTAATAGAAAAGATAACAATATTTGAGATAAGGAGACATTTTCTGGATGGTACCCTGTAACTACTGGGATGTCACAGGGAACAGTGTTCAGGCCACAATTATTTATTTAGGATGTTTATATTAATCACTGGGATGAGGGAAAAGAACGTACAACTGCCACGGGTGGGATGCTGATGACAGCACAGAAACTGCGCAGGTATATTGATAGGTTAACCTGAGTCAGCAAAATCTTTGTAGACGGAATATAACGTGGGAAAGTGTGAGATTATGCACTTTGGCAAAATAATACAAGAGCTTAATATTATTTAATTGCAGAAAGCTTTAAAGTTTTGGCAAATATCTGTAGCTCGGGTTGTGTTGACCTTGCTCGCCGAGCTGGCTTGTTTTTGTTCAGACGTTTCATCACCATGCTAGGTGACATCATCAGTGGAGCCTCCAATGAAGAGATGCTATTCTACTCCACTTGGAATTTATACTGTCCAGTCTGTTACGGTGAGTACTGTCACTTCCGGTTTTGATCTGTATGGGTTTATATATAGGGTCCAATTCTATATGTTTGTTGTTTGAAGTATGGGTGAAGAACTATGCCTCTAGGAATTCCCGTGCGTGTCTTTGTTTGGCTTGGGCTACTATGGTTACTTTGCCCCAGTTAAACTGATGGCCTTCATTGTCTGAATAAGCAGCAAAACGGCACAATGAGCTCTCCTTAATATCTGTATATACTGTTTTCACTGGAGTTTAGAACAATGAGAGGTGACCTTATTGAAGCACAAAAGATTCTTAGAGGATAAGACAGGTTAGATGCTGAGAGGTTGTTTCCACTTAACAGATATTCTAGGATCATAGGGCATAATCTCAGAATAAGGGGTTACCATTTAACACCTAGATGAGGAGGAATTTCTTCTCAGTGTAATGAATCTGTGGAACTCTACTTCTGAGGGCTATGGAGGCAGTTTCATTCATTATTTAAGGTCGAGGTATACAGATTTTTAATTAGTAAGAGAATCGTAGCGTGGGGAAAAGACTAGAAAGTGGAGTTGAGGATTATCAGACCAGCCAGGATGTTATTGTACGGCAATGGGCCAAGTGGCTTGCTTCTGCTCCTACACCTTATAGTACAGCATTGTCAGCCTAGATTATCTGTGCAAGTCTCTCAAACAACATTTGGACCCATAATCATCTGAGAGCAAGAGAACTAACATTAAGCCATGGCTAACACCTAAAAAGTGTTATGAAATATTGATGACTTATCTGAATGAATGCATATTCATGAAATGCATACAAAATAATATTCAGGACAGAGCAATCTGCTTAATCAGCACTTCAACCAATAAACTCACTGTCTGTTTTTCCATCAAGGTAGTCTACTGCTGCAGCATGTATGCAAAGCAGCAAGAAGATAGTAAGATCTGCTGATGCTGGATTGCGAGATAACAAGGTGTGGAGCTGGAGGAACAGAGCAGGCCAGGCAGCATCAGAGCAGCAGGAAAGCTGACGTTTTGGGTCGGGACCCTTCTTTAGAAATGGGGGAGGGGAAGGGGGCTCTGAGATAAATAGAGAGGGGGATGTGGTGATAGCAGGTAGATGGTGGAGCGGATAGGTGGGAGAGAAGACGGACAGGTCAAGGAGGCGGGGATAAAGCTAGTAAAGGTGAGTGTAGGTAGGCAGCAGTGGGGATTGGTCAGTGAGGTGGGAGGAGCGGACAGGTGGGAGAAAAGACGGACAGGTCAATGAGGTGGGGATGAGGTGGGGGCTGGTCTTGGGATGAAGTCAGGGGTGTGGAGATTTTGAAGCTAGTAAAGTCCACACTGAGACCATTAGGTTGTAGGCTTCCAAGGCGGAATATGAAGTGCTGTTCCTCCAGTTTCCGGGTGGCATCGTTGTGACACCAGAGGCGGCCCAGGATGGACATGTCGTCCAGGGAGTAGGAGGGGGAGTTGAAGTAGTTTGCGACTGGGAGGTATTGTCGTTTGTCGCGAACCGAGCGTAGGTGCTCTACAATGTGGTCTCCGAGCCTCCGCTTGGTCTCACCAATGTGGAGGAGGCCATATCGGGTTACTATATCAGCTGTTCCTGATGTGTTCCTCCTTGACATCGGTGAGACCAAGTGGAGGCTCGGACACTTTGTAGAGCACCTACACTCGGTTCGCGACAAACGACAACACCTCCCAGTCACAAACCACTTCAACTCCCCCTCCCACTCCCTGGACGACATGTCTATCCTGGGTCTCTTCCGGTGTCACAACGATGCCACCGAGAAACTGGAGGTTCTGCACCTCATATTCCGCCTTGGAATCCTACAACCCAATGGTCTCAATGTGGACTTTATTAGCTTCAAAATCTCCACACCCCTGACCTCATCCCAAGCCCAAACCCCCCCCCCCCCCTCCCCGCCCCCTTGACCTGTCTGTCTTCTCTCTCACCTATCCGCTCCTCCCACCTCACTGACCAATCCCCACCACTGCCGACCTACACTCACCTTTACTAGCTTCATCCCCACCTCCTTGATCTGTCTGTCTTCTCTTCCACCTATCCGCTCCACTATCTACCTGCTATCACCACCCCCTCTCTCTATTTATCTCAGCCCCCTTTCCCTCTCCCATTTCTAAAGAAGGGTCCCGACCCGAAACACCAGCTTTCCTGCTCCTCTGATGCTGCCTGGCCTGCTGTGTTCTTCCAGCAACTCACTAAGCTCAGCAGCATCTCCCAGTTCTGCAAAAATTTGAATGAAAGGAATAATTGAGTAAATGTCATGGAAACACCATCGCCTCAAAGTCACACACCATCCTCATCTGGACATTTGTGGAAATTCCCACACTGTCACAATGTCCTAAAACTCCCTTCTTAACAAAACTCCAAGCAGAAGCTGTGTGGTATCATACAAATATCTGTTCATCGCATATTGGAAAAATTGTATTTTATTTTCATTTAGAAATGCCAAATTATAAACACATTACGGAATATTTTGATTTCTCATGTTCTATCTTAGAATATTCAACACTATTCTAATTAGTAGGAACTCCAGTTATCGCAGAAATTATTAATGACAATTTGTATTTATAACCTGAATTACCAAATATACTTGTGTAAAAGTCAAATTATTTAGACCAATTTTTAAGGTTAAATTTATGGGGTCGACTATTACATGGACACTATGTTTTAGGGGCTGATATGCATGCCAGCCAAAATTCAGACCATATCATTAGCAGAAGCCTAATTGATCTCTAAATAAGTAAAGAAAAAAAACAAATTACAGTAATTACTAGATGAAGACAATAAAAACAAAAATGAATTGGTATTTATTCTGTTCACTTTTCTTTTTTTCCCTAGTTATTCTCTCTTTTTTAAGAAAACTTATCTTGGAGCAGTGAGGACATCATCAGTGCAGCTGAGGGCCAGAACGGTGCAGAGCCCGGCGGCCTGTAGGCCCCCGCGCCAAGTGGGACAGCCTGGAGGCCCCCGGTGGTGCGGGGCGGCCTGGAGGCCCCGGGCCGAGCGGGGCGGCCTGGAAATGCAGAGCGAAGTAGGATGGCCATACAAAAAGTGAATACGAATGATAGTAATTATAGTGCCTGTTTGATAAGGAACTTCAAAAATTTGTAGCCTAATGTTGCTATGACATGTACATCAACACACATAATAGCATGAAAAATTCATTTCCTCATTGTAACATTTATGTACAGGATAACACCTTGACTCACAAATGTTGACCTGTTATCTGTGAAGAACTAGGGTCGACTTTTATACGAGATATATGGAAAATACCAGAATTTTGGGCCAAACATAGGGGATTGACTTTTACTCGAGTATATACGGAATATCTGTAAAGTTTGGGGTGACATGAGCCTTTCACAGATGTCAAAGGAACAAATTGCAAGCAGTGTAGGATACTTGTACTGAATCTGTATATCAATCATAATAATTCAAAATACCATGGTTCAACTCTTACTGATTTAGCAATTCGATTTTTCTTAGTTGTCATACAGAAAACAAACAATACTGTGCGTTGTAACAGCACCCATTCAGAAAATAGTCTAAATATTTTTGACACAAGTTCATATCTATATAATCCATTAATTCAACAGAACTAAACAGAGATATAAATCACTGTTCTCACAAATCATGTCTTTGAAAGTCAGATGAAGAACACATCTTAAAATCCATTGTATATCTTGCCTTGAAACTTGTAGATCACATTTAAGTTCTGGTCACAATAATTAGAGCATCAAGAGAAAAACATTAAACCTCACTTACCAGCAAACATTCACTATTCACTTCGCACTTGGGATCCTTTAACATAAATTCGATTTTTTCAAATCGAGCTTCCAAACTATCCCCAGAAGACATGGTGTCTACGGTGTATTGTAAAGATATTTTCAAGTTCAAAAGAAATCAAAATCTGAACAAAATAAGCACTTCCGATATGACTGTCAGCTTCTTCACGAAGCAACCATCAGGTAGGCGCATGTGAAAATCGCAGAAAACGGCTTCACAGTATAATTTCACCAAATAGTTTCTTTTCCCCAATTGGAACCGTATAAACTGTTACGGAGCTTCGAACTATCAGTCGCATTTTTAAAAAAATAAACAGAAGAAACACTTTCCAAGTCTCAAGTTCCTCTTCAAAGTTCAGCAGGACAGTGGCTCGTTTACAAAGAGAATGTACTGAAAATGTACTTATATACAGATTCGTCAACCCGGCTATTTGACTAAGTAGAAAGGTGTAATTTTGTTTTAGAATAAAGTTAAAGAAAACACTGTGTCAAGCGTTGGTTACAAGCCTGAACAGCAGCACATCTGGTCCGTTGACAGCTTAAGCTCAGGAACATGAACTTCTGCAAATATTTCTTCAGAGCGAATAACACAGCGCGCGGTTAACATCCTGTGTGCCCATCGCTTCACATAAAACTCAGTTCACGGATCGGCAGCACCTTTGCAATCTCAACGAGGCTGTTTTTAAAAGAAAAATAATGTTCTTTGCAATTCCTCAACTTCTTTCTTAACGGCGGTGAGAACGCAAAATGATTTTTTTCTTCTTCCTGAAAATGCACTCGTCAATTTGCACTTTCTTTTCCTGATCAACATGTCCGCCTTCCTGTTCAAACGCTCCGAGGAAGCCGACCCGAAGATACTGCGCACGCGCTGCTTAGGCCTTCAACGGTTGCGCACCCGACAAGCCTGATGGTAGCTGGAGTACTGTTGGAGGAAATGAGAAACTAAAGACAAAATTGTGGCCTGTCAGCTAAAGAGAAGGGAAGCTTTGCCTTTCAGAAGAAGTTCAGGGATAGCCAACTGCTAGCACAGGCATGTAGCTTTCAATGAGGTTTTCTTTTTTGTTTGAACAGTGGGGAGAGACTTCTGGGGGTCGAAGTTCAGGACTGAAGCAGCTTGAAAGCTTTGTCACCGATGTTGATGCCAAGGGAAAGGGTGGAGGCACAGACAAGGCTAGATTCAGGAATTCATCTATGCAAGAAAGGATATAGCGCCAGAGGAGATTGCAAAAGGTAGGGATTGGCAGGGCAAGGCAAGGCAAGGTAATCAAGAGATTTTCAGCAAAGGCAAGGGTTGTGAAGTCAGTGAGTTGGAGAACAGGGCAGCAGTGTAACTGAAGATGGAAATGATGAGTAAAAGAGAGTACAGATAGAATGCATGTAGTAGAATTTTGATTGTTGAAATTTATTGACATTGTCAAGACCAGTCTTGGCGGAGGAACTGAACAAGTAATTTGTGTCAGTCTTCACGGTGGAAGACACAAGTAACATCCCAAAAATTCGAGAGTTGGGGAGTGGGGTAGAACTCAGTCTGGTGGACATCACCAAGGAGAAGGTGCGAGAAAAACTGAAAGGTCTGAAGGTGGATAAATAGCCAGGACCAGATGGACTACACCCCAGAGTTCTGAAAGCGATAACTGAAGAGATAGTGGAGGCTTTAGTGGTGATCTTTCTGGAATCACTGCAGTCAGGGGGCTCCCAAAGGACTGCGAAATCATGAATGTAACCCCCCATTTAAGAATGGAGTAAGGCAAAAGACAAGAAATTACAGGCCAATTAGCCTGACCTCAATTGTTGGTAAGATTTCGGAGTCTATTGTTAAGGATTGGATTTCTGAATACTTGGAAATGCATAGTAAAATAGGACAAAGTCAGCATAGCTTCATCAAGGGAAGGTCATGCCTGATAAATCTGTCAGAATTCTTTGAGCAAGTAAAGAGCAGGTTAAACCAAGGAGACCCAATGGCTGTTATCTATTTGGCCTTCCAGAAGGCCTTTGAGAAGGTGCCACGCAGGAGGCTGCTGAGTAAGATAAGAGCCCATAGGGCTAGAGGCAAAGTACCAGCATGGATAGTAGGTTGGCTGTCTGGCAGAAAGCTGAGTGTGGGAATAAAAGGGTCCTTCTCAGGATGGCAGCCAGTGACGAGTGGTGTTCTACAAGGGTCAGTGCTGGGACCACAACTTTTCACTTTATACATTAATGAACTAGATGAAGCAACTGTGGGGCATTCTGACTAAGTTTACAGATGATACAAATGTCGGTGGAGGAACAGGTAGTGTTGAGGAGGCAGGGAGGCTGCAGTAGGATTTAGATAGTTTAGAAGAATGGGCAAAGAAGTGGTAGATGGAATACAACATGGGCAAATGTGAGCTCATGCACTTTGGTAGGAAGAATAGAGATGTAGACTATTTTCTGAAGTGCAAAGGGACTTGGGAGTTCCAGTCCAGGGTTCTCTTGAGGTAAACTTGCCGGTTGAGTCAGTAGTTAGGAAGGCAAATACAATGTTGGCATTTATTTCAAGAGGACTAGAATATAAAAGCAGAGATGTACTTCTGAGGTTTTATAAGGCTCTGGCCAGACCATGTTTAGAGTACTGTGAGCAATTTTGGGCCCCATGCCTCAGGAAAGATGTACTGGCTCTGGAGCAGGTCCAGAGGACATTCATGAGAATTGTACCAGGAATGAAAGTCTTAACTTATGAGGAACATTTGAAACTCTGGGTCTATACTTGATGGAGTTTAGAAGGATGGTGGAGGGGGGTTGGCGATTGAATTAAACTTACAGAATACTGAATGGCCTGGATAGAGTGGACATTGGGAAGATGTTTCCATTAGCAGGAGAGATTAGGACCCGAGGGCACAGCCTTAGAGGATAGGAAAGACCCTTTAGAACGGAGATAAGGAGAAACTTCTTCAGCCAAAGAGTGGTGAATCTATGGAATTCATTGCCACAGAGGGCTATGGACGCCAGATCATTGAGTATATTTAAGACAGAAATAGATAGGTTCTTGATTGTCAAGGGGATCAAAGGTTACAGGGAGAAAGCGGGATTGAATGGTGGAGCAGACTCAATGGGCCAAATGGCCTAATTTCTGCTCCTATATCTACGGTGTTATGGTCTAAATACGGAATTGACAAAAGTGTAATTAGGGTTAGTGCCACACAACAGATTTATGAGGAAACTCTTAGGACATGGAATAAAAGGAAAATTGGCAATGTGGATATGAAATGTCTGCGTGATAGGAGACAGAGAGTAGCACTCAATGGGTTTTTATTTCCAGCTCGAGGAGGGTTTGTCTTGCAGTTTCCTGGAGGTTAACGTTGGGACTCTTGCTATTCCTGATAGAGATTAATGATCCAGATCAGAATGTGCAGGAAACAGTTTTGAAGTTTTCAGATGAAACAAAACTTGGAAGAATTTTAGATGTATTCTAATAAATTTGTTCAGGGATGTTGTCATGCAACACTGGAGTAGTTAGACATGAACCCATGTCTCTAGTTCAGAAAGGAGTAAACTACTAAAGTACTACAAGTGCCCTTTGAAAGAATTGTAAACTGGGAGTTCTGCGCTATTCTCATCTTAAAAGGCAGACATATTGGGAGAGATAAATGGCAGATGGAGTTCAATGCAGAGAAGTGTGGGGCGACGCATTTTGAAGGAAGAACACTGAAAGACGATTTAAAATGTGTATAATTTTAAAGGGGGTGAAGGAGACTTGTGTGTATATGTAACACGATCATTGAAGATGGCAAGACAAGCCGAGAGAGCAGTTAATAAAGTATACAGTATCCTCAGCTTTATTAATAGGGGCATAAAAGTACAAGAAGGTGATGTTGAACTTGTACAAAACACTTGTTAGGCCTCACCTGGAATGTCGTCTACAGTTCTGGGTGCCACATTATTAAAAAGATGTGAATGCATTGGACAGAGTACAGAAGTGATTTATAGGAATAGTTCTAAGGATGAAAAATTTGAGGGTAGATTGAAGAAATTGGGACTGGTCTCCTTTTGAGACAAGAAAGTTACAGGAGGTTTTCAAAATTATAAGTGGGCTTGATAGAGTAGATAGGGAGAAACTGTCCCAGCTCATAAAAGGTTCAAGAACCAGATGGCACAGATTTGAAATAATTTGCAAAAGGAGCTAGGAGAATCTTTCATATAGCGAGTAGTTAGGACATGGAATGCATAACCTCGAACTGTGATGGAGGCAGGTTCAATTGAACCATTCAAAAGGGTACTGAATTATTTTTCTATTCTGTTATTTTCGGTAGAATTCAGACAAATGAGGGGAGATCTCATAGAGACTTATAAAATTCTAATAGGACTGGACAGGGTGGACATAAGGAGGATGTTCCTGATGCTGGGTGTGTCCAGAACCGGGGGTCACAGTTTGAGGATTCGGGATAAGACGATTTAAGACAGATGAGGAGACATTTCCTCACTTAAAGAATGGTGAGCCTGTGGAATTCACTACCACAGGAAGCAGTTGATGCCAAAACATTGAATGTATTCAAGAGGCGACGAGATATCGCACTTGGGGTGAATGGGATCACAGGTTATGGGGAGAAAGCAGGATTAGGCTATTGAGTTGGACAATCAGCATGGGTTCATGTCTAACTACTCCAGAGTTGCATAACAACATCTCTGAACAAATTTATTAGAACACATCTAAAATTCTTCCAACTTTTGTGTCATCTGAAAACTTCAAAACTGTTTCCTGCACACTCTGATCTATATCGTTAATATATGTGATTGTGAAGAATGGCACAGCAGGCTTGAAGGGCCGAATGGTGACCTCCTGCTCCTATCTTCTATGTTTCTATGTTTCACAGACTGTGGCCATCATTGGCTAGGCCAGCATTTATCACCCATCCCTAACTGACCAGAGGGCATTTACGAGTTAACACATTATTGTGGGTCTGTAGTCCCTTGTAGGCCAGACTACGTAAGGACAGATTTCCTTCCCTAAAGGACATTAGATTATTTAGATATAAATAACATGCAAGGGTAAGGTGAAAAAAAATGCAATGAATTGGAGTATGTAATGATGATCATTTGAAGAACCAGTGCAGATACAACAGGTTGAATAAATCCTTCTGGCCAAAACACTGTTGTGATGTTGGGACTTAGAAACACAAAATAGGAGCAGGACTAGACCATTCATCCCTCTGAGCCTGCTGTAACATGCATTATGATCATGGCTAATCATCCAACTCTTCTTTCCTACTATTCCCTCATATCCTTTATCCCTTTAGCCCAAGTGCTACGTCCAACTCCTTGAAACCATATATTATTTTGACCTGGACTGCTTTCTGTGGTGGCAGATTTCACAGGCTCACCACTTTCTGGGTGAAGAAATTTCTCCCCATCTCAATCCTAAATAATTTATCTTGTATCCTTAGATAGTGATCCCTGGTTCTGGACTCCCCCTGCGATTGGGAATATCCTTCCTCCATCTAGCTTGTCTAGACCTGTTAGAATTTTATAGCTTTCTAAGAGATGCCCCTTATTCTTTGAACTTCAGCAAATATCCTAACTGATTCAACCTCCACTTATATATCATTTCTGTCATCCCAGAAATCAGTCTGATAAACCTTTACTGCACTTCCTATAGCAAGAACATCCTTCCTCGGTTAAGGAGACCAAAACTGCACACAATACTCCAGGTGTGGACTCACCAAAGCCCCATACAATTGCAGCAAGACGTCCCTACTCCTGTACTCAAAACCTCTCACTTTGAAGGTCAACATACTACTTGCCTTCTTTACTGCCTGCTGCACCTGCATGCTTGCTTTCAGTGACTGGTGTACAAGAATACACAAGTCAAATGTAAAACACCCCTGACAAAGGTGGTGCTGTTGTGGTCTGGCGTACTGATCTTTATCCTACAGAGGCTCAATGCCAACTCTCGGACACTTCTTCCTACCTCCCCGTGGACTATGACCCCACATCCGAACATCACGCCATCGTTGCCAGGACTGTCACCATCCTCATTACCTCCAGAGATCCCCACACACCTCTAACCTTATAGTCTCCCAACCCTGGATAGTCTGCTTCTGCCTCCTTCCCACAGTCCACAAACCAGACTGCCCTGGTAGGCCCATCGTATCATCCTGTTCCTGCTCCACTGAGCTCATTTCCTTCTACCGTGACCTCATCCTCTCTTCACTTGTCCAGACCCAGCCCACCTACACCTGCTATTCCTCTGATGC